GAGTTTTGCAGGAGATGAGCTCAGCTGCATACTTTTTCCAGTCACAGCATCTTACTGGACTCCTCAGGCTAAAAAGACATTTTAGAAACAAATTTATTCATTGCTTATTAGAGGGATTTTTTTGCCTATTCCATTTGGATAAACGTAATATTACGTTTATGTCCTTTGGACTAGCATTTTTTTGTGCAAGCCTACAGTTTTTAAGTATGTCTTTTCTGATTAAGCTTAAGAGCTCTCCTTTTGCAGTATTTCTGCAAAATATTTCACAATATTAACATAAATTAGAACAAAGCAAGCTCTCAACTGTCATTGCTTGCCATGGGGACTGCAAACCATTTGTTAACCATTCAGAAACTACAAATCCCAAGAGCTGTGAGCCTGACGCTGTCTCCGTAGAAGCAGCAAAAGGTATTAAAAAACCAAACTCTGTGTGTCCCCATCTTTAAATGCTACTCTAGCATCAGGTATGGAACCTCTACAATCTTACAACATAAACAGCTGGAGACAGACTGGGAAACTGAAGGTATGGTTAGTCCTGATTTTACAAATGAGAAGGGAGGAAAAACAACACACCGATTTTTAAAGGAATAGAGTCACCTAAATATACAGGTAGACATTTCTCTGCCTAACCCCATTCTAATTTAAGGACGTTATGGTCTTTTGTGAATCTTTAAGCACGTAAATATCTGATGCGAGTGGTTTGTCCAAGGCCATTCATTTCAGCTACCATAGGTGCTGAAAATCAATGAGAAATTCTGTACTACTTGGTACTCAGCAGTAAGTCTTTGCAGCAATTAGGACCAATACAATTCTAACAGTCAAATGTTGGAAAATGAAAGAAGAAAACTGATTACTAGTAGGGATCACTATTAGCCAGCCGTTAAAAATAGATGAGCTATCTCAAGATGTATCTTACTGGAACTACTGTGTTGCTCACAGCAGCTCACATTTTGAATGTCTTCAAGTTTGTCAGGCCAAGTGGGACTATTTACTAATAGCACCTCTCTTGCGGAGTATTGAATGCAATTAAAGATGTAGCATTACCTGGTGAATGAACACTTAATTTTATGTGGTCATTTGTTGCAAATCAAGGTGAAATACTCTGTTGATAAAAAATGTAACACTGGAGTGTAGTCTCAGATAAAATCTGTGATAGTATAGAATATCGATAGTATAGAATATCTCTGTTAAAGATAATAAAGATGGTAAAGTGGCATTCTTTTGGGATTGAAAGACAAAAAAAATTTGGGAAAGTATGAATCTCTGCTTCCACTGTCTGTTATCAGAGATAAAAATTGGCTATAAACATACGAACCTTCAATACTAAAGAGTTTAACAATAATGCATAACTACAGATAGGCTAACATTTTGTTTCTCATAGTGTAGATTTATCAGCTCTTTGGGTTTTGCTCTCCAACTCTTCCTAGTTTTCTCAGAGACTGTGTGAATGTAGAGTTAGTATGTGCTTTATATGATTTGTCTTTGTGATGATGACAGTTATTTTTATCCCTCCTGAAAGAAAAGGGAAAGTTTGCCATGATACTCTAGGAACCCCCCCCCATAGTTAACATCTTCCAAGGCAAAATTATGCCCGTATTTCAGTACCTGATCATTCCTCCAACTGTTACCAATTTTTTCAAAGAAAATTAATGTAAAAACTTCAGGGAGTTACTGTATTTAGAATATGATTGTTACAAAAGATATAGAAACAATTTGAGTGGCTCAGTATTAAACATTTTTTTCTCCTAAGAACTAATGAGTTTATTGATTTGATGCATCTTAAATCTTTTTAGTCTCCATTGTCAGCACAAAAAATAAAAGCATTAAAATAGAATGCTGAATATTGTCATGATCAGACAAAATGCAAGGCGTGAGACAATTAAAACTTAAAAAAATTCAAAACTGCACACATGAGTTATTTTGTTTCTCTATAACAAGTTCCCAATCTAGAAGATATTTGCAGGTGCACAGATGTCAGTTTTCATTTTATTAGAAATCATACTGGGATTATTAGGCAGAGAAGCAAATATTTATTGACCTAGTGAAATATCACAGTCAAATATTCAAGTGGCTTTGGAATCTGTCTTAATTTATGTTTATATAATTAAATTATAGATTTGCATTCCTTCTATCTGTAAACCATCAAACTGCCCATTGTCAAGCCGAAATTACTTGCTGAGGACAAGAGAAATGACAGTTTATATGTTTTAATTTTACCCCTGGGTTAAAGCTGAGGTAGATTTAGTTATTGCTAGCTAAAAATTGGAAAAAAAAAAAGTTTTAATTACAATTTGTGAAAACATTAGGGATATACTAGGTTGAAATAAAAACATCCAAAGAATCTAAGGAAAGCATTTTAGCTGGAGGTGCATGGGTTTTGTGGGTTGCTTTTTACTTAGAAATCTGATGATACACGGACCGAATGAACTTTATACAAAACACAAACAAATACACCCAAACCCACAAATATTAGAAACTGCACAAAATTCTGATTTCTATTTGGTCACTGTGTGAACAGTAAAATTAACGATGTAGGCTTATCTTGCTACCAAGTGTAATCTGAGTGGGTGAAATATGTGCAATAGTTTGCATCATGTTATGTGGCATTCTGTTAGCAAGAATGACAGCTGAAAATGACAGCTTCCAGTAACACTCACTAGCACAGCTCGTTATCACCTGGTTAACAACAGTAAACTGGGCTTAAATATTCTTCAAGCATCAAGAATGATTTTTCTCTTATGCATATCTATTATAGGTTGAGGGCTTGATCCTGCTGCTGCTAGGCACCCTTCAGATCCTGGTGACTCACATGGACATCCTGCTGCTCACCAGTTTGCATCTGAATCCCACATGTCCTGTTATTTATTCTGGAGTGTCTTCATCTGGCTACTTTTCTCTAATTGACATGTAGCTCACTGGGTAGCATGTATTACATGTTTTATCCACTAAAAAATGTGACTCCTTAGTGCCAAATGCTAGACTTAACTATAGAGGTGAAGGGGTTATGTCTGTTTTTACCAGCCAGTGCAGCCTATGTGTTCCCAAATAGCTGAATATGTTTGTGGCTGCGCATCTGTACACCATCTCCGTTTATATCAGGACTGTGTATATTCCCAGGCACAGTCCTTTCTGTTGGCTCTCTAGCCCTAACCAAAGGCTTACACTATTAGTTTTGGATCCCAGTGCGGTCCTTGTTATTGGCAAAGTGGCAGCTTCTGTGTGCCCAAGTTTTTTAAATGCTCTGGCTCACATTCCAAAGCTGAGAGCAGAGTATTCTTTGCCTCATTTTCAATTTATGCTAGCAAACACTCAAGAATTACAAAATCTGAGTCTGCATTTGCATATCTGGCTCTAGATTTTTTCCATGTCTTTCAAACACCTAGACTTATAGTCTATTAATGGCAAACACATATTTTGTAAATTGCTTTATATTTTTAGCTATTTCACTTGATACATAGGAACACACATGATGAGCAGCAGTACTTGCCAGTAAACCCCCCAATTTTCCAATGAATACCAGAATTATCACATTTAATTCTTCTTGTTTTCACTGTGGTGAAGTTATCTTGAGTTACTACACTGGAATAATCTACACTGACACTACTAGAATGAGAGATGGGCAGGGTCTTTGTGAAGCAAACTACTTTATGTGATGGGTTGCCAGCACAGTTGATTCAATGATGGAGCAACTGTATTAGTGGCTACTGAATTTTACTAAGTCAATTTTATGGACAGACATTGCATTACTAGCTCTAATATTAACCGCTCCTCAGTTCTCTGACACCTAGCTAGCACTATTCAGATTGATTTGGAGATTTTTGAGATTGAAGCACTCAAGCTGAAATTGCTAAAGAACGAATGGTACATTGATGTCTTAGATGGTTTTGCCTATTAATACACCTAGTGATATGTTAACAAGAAATTCTGTCAAGGATTCATGTTTAAAATACACAATTCATTACTTGAAATGTCTAAGCAATCTAAAATATATCTAAAACTTGCATAAGATTTAAGGAAAGGGGTGTCATGTTCTTTTAATATACCCTTTACTAATATGGCAACTTCTTAAAACTGTCCCCTTTACTACTGTTTGGTAGTAACTTATGTAATCATCAAAGAAATACTAATTTCTCTGCCTTTATAACAAAAAGTGTGCATTTAGAAATCTGTTTCTTTAGAAATTAAGCTTTATATGCCCCAACATATATCTTAAAACATTTGAAGAAAATCAGTCATTTCTGTAACACAGTCTGTTTAGGCTGCACTGCACTTCTGAGTATGTCTAGTATGCAAGTGTCTACACAGCCAGTGCATTAATGTTACTGGAAGTAACATATCAAGATACAAAAGACTATAGCAATATTTCTTTAAATGTATTTCCATGACCAAGTACAAGAGCTGTGGCTTCCTTACTAGCTTTCCAGTAGTACAAGATGACTTTATTACGTGTAAACTAAAAGGTAGAAAATCACTATGTGTTGGTTTTCTAACTGGATGAGAATTTGAAAAAAATGGCTCTAACTCACACATAAAACTATGCATAGAAAAGAAAATAATTACAATAATAAAACAAAGCGGTCTATTAATTTTTCAGAATGTCAGTCAGATGATCAGGAACTCAGAAAATCTTGTAACCATCTCACTTTTTAGAATGCCTCTAGCTGAAGAATCTTAAAGGACAGCCTACTCAGAAGTATTATAAGGAGATATAATATGCTTAAAAGCAGCTGATGTGGAGCCAAAGATTTTTCCTAAACAGAAGCAAATATTTTGCAAATATATCTCACAAGAAACACATTTTGTGCCTGAGCCAAGGGGTGGTTTAGTCCATAAACAAAAAGTTGCAAAATATATTTGAAGTATTATCAAAACTGTCA